GCGGGGCGCCGTCCTGCCTCTGCCCTCTCCATCCCCAGTCCCCAGCACCCACCGAGCCTGCACTCCTCATCTAGACAAGGGTCTGCTGCCCCTTGAGCTGAGGTCCCCTCTGTGACCCTGGGGCAGGCAGTCTGGACTATGGGTGCACTGGCCTCTTGGAGTGCAAAGAGCCCCTCTTGTCACTTCTTCTGTTGTTTTTGGCCTGGGAAATGGGTGATTCAGGCTGATACAGGAGTGTATCCAGTGGGGTGGGTGTGCTCAGAGCAAGGGTGATGCTCCTGCAGTATGGGTATGGTGCTGGGGGCTTCACTCTGGGCAGAGGTCTCCCCTGGTGCTACTCCATGGTGGTCCCTTTTCCAAAGCCTGAGCCCATGCCCCTGTTTGTCTGTGCATCTCTCCAGGCTGATGATCCCCACTGCTGCCCTGCCCAGTTGCCTGCCGTGATCCTGGAAAGATGGAAGTGGAAGGGTTCCGGGGAGCCCCCAGGTTCCTGGCCTATCCACGGGCCTTCACAGTGCAAAGTGGTGCTGATGCCGTCCTGAGCTGCCAGATTACAGGTGACCCCCAGCCAAGCATCCTCTGGGAGAAAGACAAGATCCCGATAGAGCCTGTGGGACGCTTCCACATGGAGGCTAAGGGGGACCTGTACAGCCTGCTGGTGTCCCATGCCACCCCCCAGGACAGTGGGCTCTATGTCTGCAAGGCCAAGAACAGTGTTGGTGAGACCTATGCTGCTGCCACACTCAAGGTGGAGGCAGGGCAGCCCCAGGAAGAGGAATGCTCAGGTGGCGAGGCGCCCACCTTCCTCATTGCCCCCTCATCCACACAAGTGTGCCGGGGGGAGGATGTGATGTTTACCTGCAGGGTGTCTGGGCAACCCTGCCCAGTGCTGGACTGGGAGAAGGATGGGCACAAGCTGTCTGACCTCTTCGAGAGCAGCCACTTCTTGGTGGGGCAGGAGCCGGAGGACTGGCACTTCCTGAAGCTTTTTGGTGCCCGGCCCCCGGATGCGGGGGTCTATGTGTGCCGGGCACGCAGTGGCTCCCGGGAGGCCCTGGCTGCTGCCATGCTCCTGGTTGAACCCCGGGCACCACTGGATGGGCTCCCCAATGGCTCTCCTGCTGACGGCCCCGAGCTGCTGGCAGAACAGAAGCAGCGGCGGCACGTGACGGGACAGCACATGGGACCCGAGACCCGTGTGCCCAACGGCACAGTGCTGGCTGGGGCACTGGGGGCCAAGGCGTTCGCTGTGAGCGTGGGGAAGCACGCCAAGTTTCGCTGCTATGTCACTGGCAAGCCCAAGCCAGAGATTGTCTGGCAGAAGGATGGCAAGTCCCTCGTCCCCAGCCGCAGGCACCTCATCTATGAGGACCGTGAGGGTTACTTCATCCTCAAGGTTCTGTACTGCAAACCCCAGGACCAGGGCCTGTATGTCTGCACCGCGTCCAACACTGCTGGCCAGACCCTCAGTGCAGTTCAGCTCCAGGTGAAAGGTAGGAGTGTGGCCAAACGCTGCTGGAGATAGCCAGGCGCTGGGGGTTGGGGGGGTGTCCAGGGATTTTCATCTGGCAGCAACGTGTCTGTGTGTGAGCCCAGCATCCCTGGGCAACCACATGTCTGTGCAGATGGGGTCATCCCAGGCTCCTCAGGAGAGAGTTGTGGGCTGGATACAGGGGATGCTGGGCTCCCCTGGAGAGCTGACTCCCCTCGTGCCCCTCTCTCCTTGCAAGCAGAGAGGTGGTTTCTCTGGAGGGCTGCAGATGTCCATCCATGAGTGGGGAAGGGGGACAGTGGCTTGGTGACAAATTCCCTTGAAAGTGCCAAGAGGTTTTGGCAGGCAGCCCTGCAGGGCACGGCTCCAAGCATCTGCACTAGTGGCAGCCCTGTCCCCTAGCGCCACCCTGCCAGATGGGGACACCCTGCCTCTGGGGTGACCTGGCACCTGGTGCGCACCCCACCTACACGCCACTGCTCTCCTCCCCTGACATGCCTGCTTTGACATGCTGGAATACATGCTCGTGAGTCCCCCAGAGCTCCT